GCATTATCCTAATACCAAAATCAGGCAAGGATGCCAAATTACAAGCCAATATCTCTGATGAATATACAGTCAAAAACCCTCAACAAAATATTAGCAAACCAAATTTAACAATATATTAGAAGGATCATACCCCATGATCAAATGGGATTTATTCCAGGGACGCAAGGATGGTTCAACATCTGCAAATCAATCAAAGATTAAAATCATATGATCATCTCAATTGATGCAGGAAAATCATTTTACGAAATTCAACATCCATTTATGATAAAAAGTCTCAACATAATATAGAAAGGTATAGAAGGAATGCAACTCAACATAATAAAGGGCATAAATGACAAGCCCACAGATTACATCATATTCAATAATAAAAAGCTAAAAACTTTTCCTCTAAGATAGAGAACAAGGAAAGGATGCCCACTCTTGTCACTTTCACTCAACATGGTTTTGGAAGTCTTAGCCATAGCAATTAGGCAAGAAAAAGAAATAAAATGCATCCAAATTGGAAAGGAAGAAGTAAAACAGTCACTACTTGCAGATGACATATTATATATAAAAAAACCCTAAAGAGGGGCACCTGGGTGGCTCAGTGTCTGCCTTCAGCTCAGGTCATGATCCCCAGGTCCTGGGATCGAGCCCCTCATCAGGATCCCTGCTCAGTGGGGAGCCTGTTTCTCCCTCTCCTTCTGCTGCCTGTGCTTTCTCTTGCTTTCCGTTAAATAAAGGAATAAAATCTAAAAAAAATAAAGATTCTACCAAAAAATCTATTAGAATAAAAGAACTCAGTAATGTTGCAGGATATAAAATCAATTTACAAAAACCTGTTGCATTTCTAAACATTAATAATGAACTATCAGAGGGGCGCCTGGGTGGCTCAGTTGTTAAGCGTCTGCCTTCGGCTCAGGTCATGATCCCGGGGTCCTGGGATCAAGCCCTGTGTCAGGCTCCCTGCTTAGCACGGAGCCTACTTCTCCCTCTCCCACTCCCCCTGCTTGTGTTCCCTCTCCTGCCATCTCTCTGTTAAATAAATAAATTTTTTTTAAATAATGAATTATCAGAGAAATTAAGAAAGCAATCCCATTCACAATTACATCAAAAAGAATAAAATGCCTAGGAATATATTTAACCAAGGAGATGAAAGACTTGAAATTGAAAACTACAAGACATTAATAAAAGAGATTGACAAAGACACAAATAAATGGAAAGATACTGTGTTCATGGATTGAAGAATTAATATTGTCAAAATGTTCATACCGCCCAAAGCAATCTACCGATTCAATGCCATCCCTATCAAAATTCCAATGGTATTTTTCACAGATAAAGAAGAAACAATTCTAAAATGTATATGGAACCACAAAAGGCACTGAATAGCCAAAGCAATCTTGAGAAAGAAGAACAAAGCTGGGGGAATCACACTCCCTAATTTCAAACTGTATTACAAAGTTATAGTAATCCAAACTGTATGGTATTGGCATAAAAAGACACATGAGTATAAAGAGCCCAGACATAAACCCATGCATATGTAGTCTATTACTACATGGAACCAAGAATATATAATGAGGAAAGGATAGTATCTTCAATAAATGGTGTTGGGAAAACTGGACAGCCACATCCAAAAGAATGAGACTGAATAAAAAGAATGAAATTTCAGGGAATCCAGAAAGGACTCTTTAGCTAAGTTCTATTTCCAATTCTTGCTTGTTTAATTGAGTGTCTGAAGGAATAAAAAGAATAGCCTGGCAAGGGAAATGGGAGTTACCAAAGTCATCTACTCTATTTTGGTTAAAACTAATAACAACAAGGACTTTCACTTATTATTATGTACTAGGAACGGTTTTTCGTGTATTATCTTATTTAATCTTCCCAAGAATCCATGAAGTAGGCACTGTTATCTCCATTTAGAGGAAAGGAAATTGAGACTCATATTTAAGAAGTTAGAAAGAACATAGTCATAGATAAAGGAGCAAAATAAGAAAAACTCTAGAAAAACTAGGTAGCATCTCAATTCCTCCAGAATATTCTTCACAGTGACTTTTTTTTTTTTTTTTCTTGAGAGGAGGTGAGAGGAAGGGCAGAGGGAGTGGGAGAGAATCTTAAGCAGTCTCCATGGCCAGTGCAGAGCCTGATGCGGGGCTCGCTGAGATCATGACCTAAGCCAAAATTGAGTCAGACACTTAACTGACTGAGCCACCCAGGAGCCCCAGGGTGGCATCATTATTATGCTGGAAATGAATTTACACATCTCACATACCTCAGTGTTGGTTCACAAGATCCTCAGGAGTTTTCCAGGCACAACTTAAAATTGGCCCTTTACTGGGCAGGATGAGACTGAGGAAAGAGGCTGGCTCCTCCAGGTTGGTAGGTGGCAGATTTAATAAGCAAGGGAACTTTATAAGGGTTGTCTTGGGAAGCTACACGATGAGTAGATCCCCAAATCCATCTAGCAAATCTTAGAAGTTTATATGTGGAGGCCTTAACTGGGTTCTGTCATGTATACCATCCAGATGGTCTTAGCACATCGCTCTATCAAGGCTATGTCCTTGGGGCAGCTTTGGGGAGTGGGGAAAGCAAGTAGAACCCACATTCCAAGGATAGGGGAGAGGGTGAGGAGCTTCTAACTGCTGGGGTCCAGCTCACAGATCAACTGGTGGTCACATCTTCTTGATGACCTTCCCCCACCTAGACATTCCAGAGCTTTTTTTAGTATCCACATCTAAAAGCTCAGTAGTAATAAAAATTGATCAGCACTTATTGACGCTACTGTAGTACTAAATTAGCTTTTCTCTTTGAAGTAGATGTCTTTTTTAAAGATTTGAGAGAGAGGGGTTGGGGGAAGGGCAGAGAGAGGGAGAGAAGCAGACGCCCCTCTGAGCGTGGAGCCCGACGCAGGGCTCAATCCCATGAACCTGAGATCATGACCCAAGATGAAATCAGGAGTCAGACGCTCAAACAACTGAGCCACCCTGGCACCCCTATGTAGACCTGTCTTAACTTACCTCAAGCTTTTGAGTCAGACAGCCTAAAGGCCTATGCGGCTATACTTTAACAGCAGACACTATATAATCTATCACATAGGATTCAGACAGGGCCAGAAAATTTTAGTTACAAATTACAGGTTTTATTTTGAAAAAGACTACTAGACAAAAAACCAGGAATATCAATTTTTGCGACATGATATATAAATATATACACACACAAATATAGGAAATCACATGAAGAAAAAACATACTACGATGTTTGAAACCAAGGCTGGGTTTGAAGAAATTTCTGAACTACAACTAAAACTTTGTTTAAATGACTAGACAATATTAGGTAATGTTCAAGATATTATGGCCAGTCTTCTATATCTAATTTATAAAAGTCAGCAAAGGAGACTTCAAAACATGATCCCTGGTTGTTCTGGCAGTGTTTTGGCAATGATCTTGCTTTCTTATGAACAACTACTTTACTCACTGTGTTGAGGTCTTCTCATGTTAAGTGTGATGAATAAAAGGATCAGTGAACCCTGGTGACAGAGAATGCAACGCCTAAAAATACTGATGCTTCCATTTGTTTTTTTTAAAGCAAAAGAAAACACCAAGTCTGAAAATAACCAGAGGTAGTTACAGTACTGATACAAATGAATACATACTGAGGCTTAGTATTAGGAACTGTTATTATACCACTTTTTAAAAAAGATTTATGGGGCACCTGGGTGGCTCAGTCGTTAAGCATCTGCCTTTGGCTCAGGTCATGATCCCAGGGTCCTGGGATCAAGCCCTGCGTGGGGCTCCCTGCTCTGCGGGAAACCTGCTTCTCCCTCTCCCACTCCCCCTGCTTGTGTTCCCTCTCTGTGTCTCTGTCAAATAAATAAATAAATAATCTTAAAAAAAAAAAATTTATTTGAGAAAGGGTGTGCAAGAGAGCACAGAGGGGAGGGGCAGAAGGAGAGGGAGCACGGAGCCTGATGCACGGCTTGATCCCAGGACCCTGAGATCATAAGCTTAACCGACTGACCCTCCCAGGTGCCCCAATGTACTGCTCTTTTATATATACAATAATCTCAGGTAAAATATCTGAGCATTTTGTAAGGTAAACGTCTAAAAGTTTTACTATAACGTGCCTTTTTCTGTTCTTTGTTCTACCTTTCTTCGTTGCCTATCCTTAAGTCTGCCAGTGAACACCCTCAGGAATTTCTTCACGTGTCAGGGTTTTGAAGACCACCCCACTCCCACCCTGAGGTTTGATGTTTTGAGGATTCACAGGATTCAGTGTATCACTGTATCCATGACTATGATTTATTACAACAGAAGCATACCAAGTAAAACAGCAAAGGGAAAATGTGCAAGGGACAAAGTCCAGGGGAATCCAAGCACAAGCTTCCAGAGTCCTCTGTTAGTGAAGTCACACAGGATATGCTTAATTCTCACAGCAACTAAGGTGTAACATGAAATGTCTTTCATGAAAGTCATTAGAAATGCAGTGCCCAGGGTTATTATCATGGGCTAGCCACATAGGTATCTTCTGTTTAACATGTACCAAAATTCTAGACTCCCAGAAGGAAAGGTGTTCCGCACAAACCACATTATACAAACACGTCAGGCATAGTGAGCAATTCATCAGTGATAGTGGAAGGAACCCTGTTGAAATCTAAATTCCTAGAAGCCAGGCAAGGACCAACTTTGTAAGCAAGCCTTTCAAAGGATAGTAGTAAGGCCTGTTATGTTTGCTCTTTTCTATACATTTAGTAACTATCCCACAGGAAAAATCGACATACTTTCACTTGCAAGAAGACTCTTCTAATTCAGAAACAAGCATTTAAAAAGAAGACATAATAGAGTGTGCTGTCTGAGATATGGCTAACGTACTCATGTTAATAAACTGTCATAGCTGTATTTGATTTTCAAGAGTTTTACTTAAAAGTAGAATGAAAATATATGAAAAACAAAGGAAAACTCAATTTGGTCTTAGTGAACTTGGAATCTTAGTACTTCAATAGCAGCATAGCCTATAAATGCCCATATTACAACTGGCTAGAAATAGACTTCACATGACTACATATAATTACGCAAAAATAAACAGTTGACAATCACTTGACATTAACAGTTTGGACATGAACTTTAGAAGTAAAAGGTACAGAAGGCATTGTAACATCATGTTTATGAAGATAATTTTCTTCTGCTAGTATTTTGGGGATACAAGAGGAAACTTCCTTTTGTTGTTCTCGCCATTTGAGTATATTCTCTGCCAGTTCTTCTGTTTCAGTCACCAACATATCCATTTTTGCTAATGCCATGCTCTGTAGTGTTTGAAAGAAGGGGAAAATAGGAGAAATTACATGTCACAATACATCATTATTATATCATAAATGGTTATGATAGCAAAATGGTTATGATACCAAAAGTTCACACCTGACCTTTTCTAGCCCCTTAATACAGTCTTTTTTTTTTTTTTTTTAAAGATTTTATTTATTTATTCATGAGAGACAGAGAGAGAGAGAGGCAGAGGGAGAAGCAGGCTCCCAAGGAGCAGGGAGCCTGATGCGGGACTCGATCCCAGGACTCTGAGATCATGACCTGAGCCGAAGGCAGACGCTTAACCATCTGAGCCACCCAGGCGCCCAATACAAAGTCTTCTTAAAATTGTGTTCTCCCCACTTATTACAGAACATGCTTTTTATTTATGAGTTCACCTCTCCTTTGTCTTCAATTATCATCTCAAAGATGACAACCCATAATCTATATTGTAAAACCTACCTCCTTCCTAAAATTGTCCCACATTTGTCTATTGAATATCTCTACCTGAATGTACATTCAGTATCTCAAATTTTAATTTATTTTATTTATGATTTAATTGCAATTCAGCAATGATCGAAGATTTACTCTCTGTGGAAGGCATGTCAGAAAACAGTCATTAGCTTTTTGATTTCTTGATCCTCCTCACCCTCAGGTCACCAAAGCTAGTTACTTCATTACTTTGTCCAAAGAGTAGACACATTCTAGAAATTTGACATCACAAATCTCAAAGTTTACATAATCTTTTGTTTTCCTATGCTTTAAATCTTTTATCTGACTTTGGTTCATTTGCCTAGTCCTCTAACCTACAGTCTATCAAACTTTAATGGGTGTAGGAATCACCTGAGGCCAAAATGGAGTACCACTCTTCCCCAAAACAGCCAATGCTAATTTTCGTGTCTTTCCTCACATTGCTGCTTTGGGCTAAACTATTCTTTCTGATGCAAATTTCACTGATTTTCAAGATTCAGCTCACTACTAACTACCACATAAAACTTTACTGAAGGGCGCCTGGGTGGCTCAGTTGGTTAAAGCGACTGCCTTCGGCTCAGGTCATGATCCTGGAGTCCCCGGATCGAGTCCCACATCGGGCTCCCTGCTCAGCGGGGAGTCTGCTTCTCCCTCCGACCCTCTTCCCTCTCATGCTCTCTATCTCTCATTCTCTCTCAAATAAATAAATAAAATCATTAAAAAATAAATAAATAAAATCTTTAAAAAAAAAAGTTAAACAAAGGGGCACCTGGGTGGCTCAGTTGGTTAAGCATCCAACTCTTGATTTTGGCTTAGGTCATATCTCAGCGTTGTAAGATCAAACCCTGCCATCATGCTCTGCACTGGGTGTGAAGCCTGCTTAAGATTCTCTCTCTCTCTCTCTGCCCCTCCCGCCTTCTCCCTCTCTTAAAAAAAAAAAAAAAGTTAAACAAAGAGATCACACATTTGAGATTCTAGTATGAAAGAACTAAAGACAGCCAAATGTAAAGTAGTTGAGATACTTAAATGCTACTGTTAATACTCACCATTTTCTTTAGATTTTCATCTAAATGAGGGATATTTTTAATTGTTTCAAGATGGTTTTCTAATCTTTCAATGAAAGTTACTGCCAATTCCAGCAAACGTACCATGTAGCTAAAAGAGGGAGAAAAAAGTCAACTATTTTTTTTTAGCTACTTTGTGTTCTTTTTTTTCTTTTCAATTAGGACTTTTAATACAAGATAAGAGAATTACAATCAACCCAGTGAGCCAATAATAGCCTTTCTGCATTCATGGAAATACCAGTGATAAAAATGTCATTTTCTTTCACTTTAAGCAGAAATTAATTCAACATCCAAACAGAAAAAGAGAGACAACACTAATCATATCTGGTACCCAACTTAATATTAGCAAAACTTAATTTAAACTTACTTAGTAATTAATAATAATTTTCTCATATAAGTAATTTCCCTAGATTAAATCTCATTCCATTTCAATCTACTCATTCTCCATGAAGGGTAAAGATAATAAGAATAATGTACTTGACTGAAACTGCCTACACCTAAAACCACTTTGAATCTTCGCATTTGCAAAATGCTTTAAAATCATTACTCAGTTCTTCTGATATATATAATGTATAACATATACATTAATGGTATTTTACTATACTGAATAGATAACTGAATATATCCACAAGAAGGAATTTTTACATTTATTCTTTTACTACAAGATAACAAATCTGACACTTAAGAGAGGTACTGATTTGCTAAGGGTCAACAAGCGAGGCATTGGTGGAGAAAGTTAGCAATCAGATCCCCAGATGTTTGATTCTTTACTATTGTTTATTATTATACTTGGAATACTCGTATGGGGAAAAGAGCAACAGAAAGCATGCCCATTCTATGGACTGGGAAACTGAGGCTAAAACCAATCATTTGCCCAAGGTTTTGAGGCATACAAACAGCAGAAATGAGAGCACAACTCATTTGGTTTTTTTTCCTTTAGCTGACATGGTTTTCATCTCTCCCTGCTTACACTCCCTCAGAGAATTTTTACATATAGGCAACATTAACACAACAATAAGTTAACTTCATAGAAAATGGTCTATACATAATAAAAATAATTTTTACCCATCTTACTATATGTTATTGATCTAATTTCTTTCATTGAAGCCATTATATCATTCCCAAAACACACTGGGCAAAAGGAATGTCTTTTTCTTCACCACAGCTTCACTCTTTAAACGCATAAGATTTTCTTTCTGGTTGTATGTATCAGCATTAAAAATGTTAACAGTAACTAATATATTGTTTAATGAATTGCACTATGAAATAACTACTAGTCTAAACAAAAAATACCCTCAGGAAATATGTGGAACCATTAGTTTCTACTGTTTAGTTTAACCTGTGATAAACAGCTTCAATAGGCAAGTTTTCCTGGCACATGGGTTTCAACAGTCTTTGCCTGAGGGACCTCTTCTCTTTTAGCACTGCTTCCAAATGATTATTCATGCTTTGCAGAGTATGACATTTCTGAGCTATACAAACCAAAAACAGTAATCATAGTTAGCAATATGACAAGTTTCAAAATCACTAATAATTTATTTTTTGCTTTGGTATGACACTATCAGTGTCAAAAATTAATCCATTTCCCTCCTAAATATCTCCCCTTTGCTATCTTTAATATCAAAACCACTTTGCTTTCAATGATTTTCTCTTACTTTGCTTGCTGACACCAAATCCAGTGCTAAATTCTTTGTCTACATTATTCAGAGAGAGGCAGAGGGAGAAGCAGACTCCCCGCTGAGCAGGGAGCCCGATGTGGGACTCGATCCCAGGACTCCAGGATCATGACCTGAGCCGAAGGCAGTCGCTTAACCAACTGAGCCACCCAGGCGCCCTTTATATTATTTTTTAAAAGATTTTATTATTTATTTGACAGAGAGAGACAAGTGAGGGAGGGAAGACAAGTCGGGGGGAAAGCAGGCTTCCCGCTGAGCAGGGAGCCCAATGCAGGGCTCAATCCTAGGACCCTGGGATCATGACCTGAGCCGAAGGTAGATGCTTAACGACTGAGCCACCCAGGCACCCCCTAATTCAGTTTTTATAGCCAGAGTCGTATTCTTCACATAAAATCTCTGTTCTCATCTCTGCCTCTAACATTCTACATGAAATTAAAAAATAAACATGTCTTACAAGCTATTTCTGATTATTTCAATATTTTGCCCAGAATTCAGTTAATGGCTGCCAACTGACTCTTAAATTTTTATTTTGAAAAATTTCAAACTTACAGAAAAGTTTCATTGAACTCCCACATACATTTCACCTAGACTCACCAACTGTTAACATTTAGCTACATTTTTATTTCTTTCTCCACATACTCAATACATGTATTTTTGCTGACCCATTTAAGAGTAAGTTGTAGATACCATGAACTTCTACCCCTAAAACTTCAGCATGTATTTCCCCAAATAGGAACATTCTCTTATGTAAAGATAAGTATCAAATTCAGAAAATTTAACAATGGTACAATACTACCAGTATTTAATACAGTCCATATTGACATATGACCAAGTAACTCAATAACATCCCTTATAGTAAAATAAATCCGTAATCAAGTATTCAATCCATGACCACTGTGCTTTGACTGTTGAGTCCCTCTAGTCTCCTTTAATCTGGAAAGTTCCTCAGCCTTTCTTTGTCTTCAAGCTTTCCTGAATTGGAGGAGCTCCTACCTGGGTCACTTTTTATGCTATTTGCACTAGTCAAACCAAAAGGACTTCTATTTGAGCACAGAATAGAAGACTTTATTAGCTTTGGGGCAATACCTGAAAAAATTATGGTATATCATAATGTATGATTAAGGTAATCCAAGAAAAAGTTGAAATTCCAATGATTACCCATTTCATCAAATTACTTACCCAAAAAGGAAGGATGAACAACATCTGCTGCATCTTTTTCTAGTCTTAAAAGTTCAATTTCCAGGTTTTTCTAAATTAAGAAGAAAAATAACATTCAGCTTGATTCAGCTTGCGTAGAATGCTGCCTGAAGGCTTAAACTTAAGTAAAAAAAGGCATAGTCTTTAACCCATGAATACTGAGGCGGGGAGAGAGGAGGATTCGTTATGAGAGCCCAGGGGATTTACTGAAGATTTTCATTTTGGTGTTCAAGCCCTATTGCTGCTATTGCTACTACTACTAACTACTACTATAACTATTACTACAAATAAGTAAAAACTTATCCAGCTATGTGCTAGACAATGTTCTAAGTGCAAGAGAACTGCTGCTGGGATCAACTTATTTTCCTGTACTAGAACTAGAAAGTAAAAAGTCCAACATAATTTACCTGGTAGATTTCAGCTTGAATATTTGTGATCTGCTGTAGTCTGGAGAAGTTCGCAAAGTAAGATGCTGATTTCTTGGATATATTTAACATCTCCTATTGGTAAATGAACAGAGAAAGCAGCAGTGTGTCACAAAAAGTTTGCGTGCATTGGAATAACATACCCATGGGCTTAAAACATGAGGATTTATTATGTCCAACACTGCCCTTGAAAAATGAAGTAGAGTTTAACAGTAGCAATGTATATTTCCTGTTTTTATGTTTTTGGTTTTTTTTTATTTTTATTTATTTTTATTTTTTTATTTTTATTTATTTTTTTTAAGATTTTATTTATTTCAGAGAGAGAGAGAATGAGAGATAGAAAGCACGAGAGGGAAGAGGGTCAGAGGGAGAAGCAGACTCCCTGCTGAGCAGGAAGCCCGATGTGGGACTCGATCCCAGGACTCCAGGATCATGACCTGAGCCGAAGGCAGTCGCTTAACCAACTGAGCCACCCAGGCGCCCTGGTTTTTTTTTTTTAAAGATTTTATTTATTTATTTGACAGAGAGAGACACAGTGAGAGAGGGAACACAAGCAGGGGGAGTGGGAGAGGGAGAGGCAGGCCTCCCACCGAGTGGGGAGCCCAGCGTGGGGCTCGATCCCAGGACCCTAAGACCATGACCTGAGCCGAAGGCAGACACCTAATGACTGAGCCACCCAGGCACCCCATATTTCCTGTTTTTAAAATATTCACTATCTGGGTACCTGAGTAGCTCAGTGGGTTAAGCGTCAGACTCTTGGTTTTGCCTCAGGTAGTGATCTTGGGGTCCTGAGATAGAGCCTGGCATTATCCTGTATGCTCATCGTGGAGTCGGCCTGGGATTCTTTCCCTCTTCCTCTCCCTCCCCCTCTGCCCCTCAGCCTGCACGTGCTCTCTCATTCTCAAATAAATATTCTTTTTTTTTTTTTTAAGATTTTATTTATTTATTCAAGAGAGAGAGACAGAGTGCAGGGAGCCCAATAGGGGGCTCAATCCCAGGATACCAGGATCATGACCCCAGCTGAAAGCAGACACTTAACTGACTGAGCCATCCAGGCGCCCCTAAATAAATCTTAAAAAAAAAAAAAAAAAGCACTAAATATTCACTATCACAAATCCTTTGGCCAAATATTTAAAAAAATTAGAAAAACAAACAAGACTTAATCACTTTGTCCTATTTCCTAAAGTACTCTGCACAATACATCTGAATTAGTGACAGCTCTCAGAGAAGGCTAAGGTTAAGAAGGATGAGCTTGAGGTTGTTGGAGAATTACCCCTACACAAATCAACAAAACCTAGTTTCTGACCTTCCTGGGGCTAAAATTAAATACTTTCCCACCATGGAATCATTTATCTGATTCATTAAACGACCTCTATTGGCTATAACTCATTCATACTGTCTCTTTTCACATACTCTCTTAAAGGAATGTTCTGTACAGGTGGAATTATTCTAAAAAGCTTACCCGCTCCTTTTTATCCTGTAATTCCATGCAAAATATTGCTTGCATATATTGCCTCCTTAAATTGCAGGTTACTTCAGAATAAGAGTATTGTTCATCCCCTGGCTTGACCCATAATTTTCTGTATCCTCTTCTTCTTTTCAAGAATATTAGCACATTTAGAGATCTTTAGAGATCTTATAGGCAAAGGGTTGGGAAATGATAGTCCATGAACTAAATGCAGCCCACTGCCTGTTTTTGTACAGCCCATAAGCTAAGAATGGTTTTTATATTTTTTAATGCTGGGTAAAAAAAAGAAACACAGTATTTTATGACACATGAAAACAGTATGAAATTCAAATTTCAGGATCCAGAATAAACTCAAATGCTCCCATTCATTTACTTGTTATCTCTGGCTTATTTCATACTACAATAGACTAGATGAAACCATATTGACCTAAAAGCCTCAGATACTTACCCTCTGGTCCTTAATAGCAAAAATTTGCTGACCAAAGATAACCAATTTTATAAGCATTTGCTGAGTTAGACAATCGAAGATTGAAGGATGGATGGGAAGGAAAAGGTATTCTAGTATTAACATATATGTGAAAAGGAGGGAAAGATGAGATCTGAAAACATAGTTTCCTACATAATCGTGGAAGATCTTGATAGCTGTGACAAGCAATTATAATGCAGGAAATGAGAGTAATTCAAGGTTTCCTGGTGAAGAAGTAACATGATCATATATAATATATATTTTAGAAATGTAAATGGGGATAGTATGGAAAATAAAACTAATGAGGCTGGGGGGACAGTAAGGAATAGGGAGTGACTACTTAATGAGTATGGGGTTTTCCCGGGGGTTGATAAAAAAGTTTTGAAAATAGTTTCACAACATTGTGACTGTACTTCATGCCACTGAATTGTACACTTTAAGATGGATAAAATGGTAAATTTTATGAGCATTTTACCACCAAAAAAACTCGCCACTGGGGTGCCTGGGTAGCTCAGTCATTAAGCGTCTGCCTTCGGCTCAAGTCATGATCCTGGAGTCGTGGAATCTAGCCCCGCATCAGATCAAGCCTCCCATTGGGCTCCCTGCTCAACAGGGAGTCTGCTTCTCCCTCTGCCTCTTACCCCGCTCATGCTCTCTCTCTCTCGGTCTCTCTCTCAAATAAATAAATAAAATCTATTAAAAAAAAAAACAAAAAACCCATCACTCTGGTAACTAGCCAACAACATAAAACATACAAACAAAAACAAACAAAAATACTAGGTGAGAGAAAGGACTGGAGGTTGAATATTTAGACAAGTGGCTACTACAGCATTCCAGGTGAGAAGATGAGAATGTGGACTAGGTCAGTAGCAGTTAAAAAAGGAAAAGGAAGGGAGAGATGTGAATCCCTGGAGAGATGAAATGGATAAATCCTGGTTGATATGGGGTATTAGGGATAAAGTCAAGTCAATATTGACTCTGAGGGGACGCCTGAGTGGCTCAGTTGGTTAAGCGTCTGCCTTTGGCTCAGGTCATGATCCCAGGACCCTGGGATCGAGTCCCACATCGGGCTCCTTGCTCAGTGGGGAGCCTGCTTCTCCCTCTGCCTGCCACTCCCCCTGCTTGTGCTCTCAATATATCAAATAAATAAAATCTTTAAAAAAAAACATTGACTCTGAGGAGCCCTAGTGACTGGACAGATAGATATGCCATGCCATGAGGAAGATAACACAAGATACTTTACTGATGGCAAAATTGAGGTTTGGGGGAGCAATGTATTAGTTTAATTTCATTCTATAAATACATATCATGGTTGAAATAAGGATGAATCTAATCTACTGAATTTCCATCATATCAGCATAATTCTTTTACTCTTCTTTTCTGCTCTTAGTAGAAGGTAAATGAAAAGTAAAACATCTCCCATTTCTCACTGTAACTTACTCATTCTCTAGCACCTCTTCATCCCTCCCTGTGTATATGCTAATCTTAACTATACACATGGAAACTAGTAAACTGTTGGGTTCAACATCAGGGTAATGGAGCTTAGCCAAGAACATGTAAGAGAAACCAATGGAAAATAACAATGTTCAAGGGAGAGCCAAAAGGAGAGAGGAAAGAAAGAATAGCCAAATTTCTCTAATAAATAGAAATTCTAATTACTTGAGGATTGTGACTTAGCCTTATATCTAAAAAAAAAAAAAAGGCAAGGATTGGGGAATACAGAAAAGTTTTTACTGTTGACTACTGCTATTATATATTATATACTTTACATGCCAGTAAAGCGACACTGAAAATGAAAGGATCCTGAAAAGGGAGTCTGTTTAAGGTGTTTCTGTTCATTCTGTTGCTAGGCACAAGAAGCTGAAATCCAAGACTTTTATGTATAATATAAAAATCCTGATAACACTGTGTACAAAATATATATACGTATAAGCTTGTGTCTTTGGGCATCCTTTCTTTTTTGTCCTTTCTACTTCATACTGAATTCTAGCTGAGGGACATTAAAAGGGAAACAGTGTAGCAGAGAAATTAAAAGCAGAGGCTTTAAAATGGGGGAGGGGAGGGGTGCCTGGGTGGCTCAGTCGTTAAGCGTCTGCCTTCGGCTTGGGTCATGGTCCCAGGGATCTGGGATCGAGCCCTGCATGGGGCTCCCTGCTCAGCAGGAAGCCTGCTTCTCCCTCTCCCACTCCCCCTGCTTGTGTTCCCTCTCTCACTGTGTCTCTGTCAAATAAATAAAATCTTTAAAAAAAAATAAAATAAAATAAAATGGGGGAGGGGATATAGAGGCGGGCAGGGCACACTGAAAAAATAAGATTTATATATATAAATGTATAAACATACACATAAATATGTAAACTATATATATATGTCTCTATATATCTCTATATAGTGTATGTATATGTATTTGATTGAGCTATCATGACTCACTAAAGCTTGCCAGAAAAATAGGATGTAAGGCCAATAAAGCAGTCCTAGGGCAGGGCACCTGGGTGGCTCAGTCGTTAAGTGTCTGCCTTCAGCTCAGGTAATGATCCCAGGGTCCTGGGATCGAGCCCCACATCGGGCTCCCTGCTCCGCGGGAAGCCTGCTTCTCCCTCTCCTACTCCCCCTGCTTGTGTTCTATCTCTGTGTCTCTCTCTGTCAAATAAATAAATAAAATCTTTAAAAAAAAAAAAAAGCAGTCCTAGGGCATAAACAAATACCCCATTTATCCTACAGAGAGTTACCTATACCTTTCTTTCACTAAATCATTCCTTAATGGATATAGATCAAAACAAAACAAAACTCAAACAAGCTATATTTTCTGGAAGAGTTGCATCATATCACAATTTTAAGCATCACTTGATTTTCTTCATGCAAATGGGATGATGTGCACTTAAGGGATAGACTAAAGAGATCATATAACATTATTTTGAAAGAACCAATGCTAAATCCTTCTAATAAAAATAGATTTTCATATGTAATGTTTGCTTAAAGTAAAATCATACTACAAATCTGTGAAGTTTCCTCATTGGGACTAGTTGTGTAGTAAGATTGTAAGATGGTCTTAAAGAGCTATGGATTGGCAGATTTTACCTGAGGCAAAATTAACTGTCTAATTAGTGCCACTTGGACGCTAGGAAGAGCCTCTTCAAAACAACTTCTACCCCAACAAACAGCTGACTTATCAATGTCAAAATTCTCTTAGGTGTTTAATTCTCAAACCAATACACTCTAGAGGGATAAGTCCCAAATGTCTTACAGTATGAGTTTACCAAATTACTTTGTTACAGCACTAAACAATGCAGTGAGACTACCAGGTGATTTGGTAGGAAGAAAACACATGAGATAAGAGAAGGTGAGAACTGGGGGAGTGCTACAGTTATGTTTTGCCTATTTTCCAATGCATTCATTTGTACCCCCCGCCAAAATCCTTAAGGTCTGGTTACTAGAACCTCGGCTAATCTACAAGAATTCTTCATCAGAAGTTTAAACTCTTTCAAGAGAGTGTCATAGTATCATCTGTCACAGTTCATCTTAGAGATGATACAATGTGTCAGAAAATGGAGCGCCCTGTGATCTATTTCACTGGTTGAGTGACCTTGGGTAAATTTCTTGGTCTCCTTACGCCTTAGTTCCATTAAAAAAAAAAGATTTATTTATTTATTTGAGAGAGAGAGAGAGAGAGAGAGAGGGAAAGCATGCGCGCAAGTGAGCAGGAGGGGCAGAGAGGGAGAGGAGAATCGTAAAGTAGACTCCCTGCTGAGCGTGGAACCCCAGGTGGGGCTCCAGGCCAGGGCCTTGGGCCAAAATCAAGAGTCAAGAGACGGAGGCTTAATCAACGGAGCCACCCAGGCGCCCCTTTACTTTCTTCATCTTAAAAATAGTGTACAGTAGGGGCGCCTGGGTGGCTCCCTGGGTTAAGCCTCCCACTCTTGATTTCGGCTCAGGTCCTAATCTCAAGGTCCTGGTATAGGAGCCCCACCCCCTGCTCAGCTGAGCAAGGAGTCGGCTTGAAATTCTTTCCCTCCCCCACCCTCTCTCTCTCTCTAATAAATAAATCTGTAAAACAAACAAACAAACAAAAAACAGTGTAAGGTACAATTCTCTAATGACTCTTCTAAGTATACAAAGTTATGTATTTACCATAAATCTTCCATCGTGTTCATACAGCTATCTCCGTGTATGATTTTACCTTTCTACTTCTCCGTTTCTTTTTTAGCGAAAATCCTCAACTTTCTCGTTATCTCAAAATTTCTTTCCCTCCATCTCACTTTCCCCATTCACTTGTCACTTGGATTCCATTATTCCCTCATATCTTTAATTTCTCCTAAAACTACAACCGCTGAGACTAATCTGCCTCTTCTCTGCTAATTACTCCCCTCCTGCATTCACGTTCCAAGGTCTTTCGGGTCTATCTCAACATTTTAAAAAATTTCTTTATTTTTTGGCTTTAAAGTTGAATGCTTCCCCTGACGCTCTCCTGTACTCAGCGTCTCCCGCCCCAAATATGCTTCAATACCTCACACAAACAAGCGTTGTTTGGGAACGTTTGTGTTTTAACACTTACCCGTATTTCCCCACCCCCCACCCATTACAATATACAGGCAATATCACTGGGTGAGAAAAAGCGGGGGAAGACTGATCTTTATTATCTCTCACGAACTGACCCAGGATAACTCGCCCGCAGACATCTGAAACCCGTCTACTCAGAGCCCCGCTTTGGCACAACCACTGCAGAACTGTCGCTACTTGTTGCCTGGAAGGGCCTCCAACGGCCTCCACTCCAGCACAGCCCCCACCCAGCACCACCACCTCACAGCCATCTTCTGTCGCCATCGCCGCCCACGCACCTGAGTGACCATCCCCGAAGCTACGAAATGGCCCAGCAGCAGCCCGGCAGCACTTGGCGCGGACGCGGGATCCCAAGGGTTCGCAGCAGCCATGGCTGGGACCCACCTCCCGGGCTGGCGAGATAAGCGAGTGAAACGGACGGAGAACGCGCGACGCGGATCGATGACGTCACAGGGCGTTTCAGTCCGGGCGGAAGCCCGGGGAGCGCATCCCGGCCGAGCGCGGGCCGAGGGTTTTCCCTTGCTTAGCCGGCTGTGAGCTGAGGGGTAGGAGACGAGTCCCGCGCTCCCTGATCATTCGTAGGCTCCAGCGGCGTCAGGCCTCGGAACAGCTGTAAAAGCTGTTGGCCCTGGTGATCGGGTTGTTCTTCCCTTTCTTCCTTGCCACTTTTAGTTGGTCCCCAAGATTTGGGCGTCGGCAGGTGACAGCTTGGGCACGAGAGCCGAGAGGCGGATGGGGTGGCTGGATGCCTGGACTGTGCGGTGACAGCTGCGCTTCCTTCCTGCAGGGACCTGAGCCGCGGCCCTAGAATGGGAAACAGTGCCCTCCGCGCTCATGTGGAAACCGCGCAGAAAACTGGTGTCTTTCAGCTTAAGGACCGTGGGCTGACCGAGGTGAGACTGGGAGGGGACCGACCAGGGAAATTAAAGGGAGAGGGACGGCGGGGGTGGTGAAGTTAATCGGTGAGGAATTCTCCGCGCTGTGAACCCTTTTCTCCAGTTCCCCTCAGAGTTGCAGAAGCTGACCAGCAATCTAAGGACCATCGACTTGTCCAACAACAAGATCGAGAGCCTACCGCCTATGATTATAGGAAAGTTCACTCTGCTGAAGAGCCTCTCCTTGAACAACAACAAACTGAGTATGGGTTTTGCGCCTGGGAAGCTTTTGCTAGCGATCAGCTGTTAAGAAGGGTGGTTTTCTCTTACAAGCTGATTTTTGTTGTTGTTATGAAACCGTACTGAGAGCTCAAGACGCAGGAGGTTATCAGAGTCCTTGAAGCTATCTCTTGTAATTACATCTACAAGCCTCCTCTGGTGGTGTAATGATTGGTACTGGCTTAATTTGGACTTGAAAGGGAAGACCATCTTTGGGATGTAATGTAAACAGAGCTAATTTTGCTGCTAATTTAGAAAGGGGGGTGGAATGGGAAGGGGAGGGCCTAAGAAATGCCACAAAATTGCTGTCGGATTCTGCAGAGGTCCTTTTACAAAAGGAGCCCAATATACACATAAATACTTGCCTGTATTTTGATGGCACCCTCACTTTCTGAAGACTATGTTGGTAAAATGCAATACTTAAAAATCGCACATGTGGGAATTTTATGTGTATCAGTAGGAGGCATATAAGGTGGCCATATACTTTTTCTAAACTTTGTCTAAGGTATGTCTCAGCTGTATCAGATTCAGGTTTTTAATTTTTTTCTTTGCCAGCTATTCTTCCTGAGGAGTTATGCAATCTGAAAAAACTAGAGATGCTAAGCCTAAACAACAATCACTTGAGAGAGCTACCATCTACCTTTGGGCAACTGGCAGCCCTCAAGACCCTGAGCCTCTCTGGGAACCAGCTACGAGCACTACCACCACAGCTCTGTAGCCTACGGCACTTGGATGTGGTGGATCTCTCCAAGAACCAGATTCGGAGCATACCTGACATAGTGGGGGAGCTGCAGGTCATCGAACTCAATCTCAACCAGAACCAGGTCTAGAGCTTAAGGTTTTTTTCCTACATCATGTGGGTTTACAGTCACCTGTATAATCCATTCTTTTCTAAACTGTAGTCATGGAGCTGGGTATCAGGCTAGATGAGCAGTATAGTCCATGGGCTGGACTACTTTCAAAGCTAAAAGTGCTGTGGAATTAGTTGAGACACTGCGCGTTTGTGTGTTGCGTAGGTGTTTTTAGGAGAGTGGGATGGGTAATGGGGTGAGATAATTTCAAAAGTTAAACTGTCTCACAAATCTTGGAGAATTCAGATCCTCCTCAAATATGCCTCAAATCACCTAGCAAGGAGCTATGTCAGGTGGAGTGGAAAAGAGGCTTTAACTCATAGGTTCTTGGAGTTGGACAAGAGATAATTCATTGTCCCTTTTTTGACATCTTTGTCAAGTGTGTCCTGCTTTTACTGAAAATTCATAACTGACAGGCTTTCTGGCCTGTCATTGTTGGACAGCTTTAATTGAAATATTTGAAATTTGTTTCCATTACTTTGGACAGCTTTAATTGAAATATTTGAAATTTGTTTCCATTACTTTG